GAAGGGCGGAACCACCACCGGTGGCAGCGGCTTGGGGGATTTCGCAGGGTAGGCCTTGAGCACGGCGTGGATCTCGCCAGCGCTGTGAATCTCGATCGAGAGGACGTACCCATGGACAGTGGTGCCTTCCTCGCGCGACGCTTCGCGGGGGCAGTAGCCGACCTCGAACGACGACGCTGTTTTGGCCGAAACGCAAAAACGTCGCAGCGGCGTGACCGCGACGGCGCCCACAAACGCGTTGGATCCTCGCTGCTTGCCCATGACCGCGTCGCCCGCACTCAATAAAATGTCGTCGTGGCAGTGGGCGGCATCCCACGCGGCCAAGGGCGGCAACTGGAGAAAGTCGAAGAGCTTGTAAAAGTCCGCTTGCGCGTCGCCAGGAATGTGATCGAGAGGCAGGTGGCCGCTGCGAAGGTACGTCATGATGGGCGCAAACAAGGCCGGGTCAAAGTCCAGAAAGTATTCGCCTAACCCACCATTTGGTGCGTGCAATCGAGGCCAACAATAGTACTAGTACCATTGTCGTTGGGCGGCCATTGGAGCAACGCGTGGAAGTAGCCGTCTTCAAACCGCAAAAGGGTCTCGCGCAATGTTGCAAAGCGTGTGCCACCGACGTTGAGCGTGACGATCTCGGTCGGTGCGGCGACCCTCGAGCGCTGGGTGTCGCGAAGGGCAGAGACGATGTCGGTGACAAAAGCGTCGAACGGACCTTGCACCTCTGGCGACAGGAGCGTTCGTAGCTCGGCCCAGCGCGCCTCGAACGCATCGCTTGCCGTCGACGTTAAGAACGCCATTTGCCAGGGTCCGTAAAAAAAGAAAAGTGGACAACGCTTGGCGATAGCTCGGGGTTCTTTAGTTATGACCTGCTGCATAGAAAAGGAGAGGGAGAAAATCTTAGCAGCAGTATCCTCCTGGACGAGCATCTGGGGCGCCGCAATGCAGCACTCCCGCCTTATTACATACGGTACATTAAATGTACCCTTGATTCGGGCGAGGCGTCAGAAGGTTTCTCTGGCTGTCTCTGGCCCATTCGCTACACCTTGGGTACGATACAGGAAAGTGGTCCAATAACGGAAGGCTTTCAAAACCATACTATTTACTAATGTCAAATTTGTATGCGCACAATCTGGGCAAGCACATCCAAGAACTGATCTGACTCGGATGATTTGAGGACCCTGTTCTTTTGACTCGCATCTAGGAAGACCATTTTTTATTATAATTGTAGAAGAAACGCGGTGCCCAGATCGTGCGCCCATGTAGATAAAATGTGCGGTAGGATCAGCGGTAGGATGGTTTTGAAAGCCCTCCTTCACAAGAAGAGTATGCAGCACTCGGCCACGCGCGCTTGAAGCGCAGTGACGACAAACCAAAGGTCGGCAACTACTTTTTGACGTCTCTGGGCACCGCACTTGAGCGTGCTTGAGCACCGACAGGGTACGCACATGACGACGAGGAACGCCAGACTAGGAGCTCAGACTAAGTAGCCGTAGAGTGCTGGTACGATCGGGCTTTCCCACAGACGCGTTGCGCAAACTGCCAGCAACGAACCACCGCACTACCACGCTTGCGTTGCGTGCCTTCTCGGTGCCAAGCTTGATTTTGCGTACTCATGCTGCCACGTCATCGGTCCACTACAGAGCTATGTAATTCTTATCACACAACAGTTTTCCAGTCCGAAGGTACCGTACGTCATGATGGGCCAAAACAATCTTGGCTCGACGTTAAAAAAACTCGCCTGGTCGAGGATTAGAGACAAGCAACACGAGTCTCTCGTTGGCGGGTCACTGCAGCATCGCATGCAAGTAGGCACAAGGTTCTCACGCGCAAAACACGTGCCACCGACGGTGAGCGTGGCGATCTTGGTCGGCAGCTCGGAGTCATGCGTTTCACGCCGCAGCTCACGCATCGCAGACACAATGTCATCGACAAAGGCGCCTAGAGGAACCTGGCCGTCGGTTGGTAGGAGCGCTTGGAGCTGAGCCCAGCGCGCTGACAACGAGAGCGGTGCGTCGTGTGGCCACATGGACGAGTGTGAATGGCTACAATCCCACCACAACGATGTGATTGGCTACAACTGGAATTGCTGGCCAATGAAAATGCGCGAAAAACGCTCTAGATTTCGCTGGGCAAGTCGACCGAATCAATCGTAGCTTTCAAGTCATGCATGTATCGGTAGGGAGCAAGGAAGGTATCGGCGCAAGTATTGGAGCAGTTAAGTAGGGCGTCGGTTCGAATACAAGCATGGACGGCAAGGCACACTGTCGACTCTACGATCCTAGTGGAGTTGGCGGCCATTGATAGGATTTTGGGCATGCGATCCCAACGAACTATCCCACCAGGCGCTATCCAAAAAACTTCTTGGGGTGCAGCAAGTTAGGAATGGAGGGAACAGGCGTCGAATTGCCGTGTATGTCACTCCCAACGGTGCAGAGCACTTGGCGAAAACATCTCTTGCTGCGCCGAGTTGTAGCGCTTGGGCGAGCTTTTGTGATGATGGACTTGCGTTCAAGCCATTCCCTGGTCTTGCCCGCGGTCTTGAAATGTCAGCCTGGGTCCTATTAAGCGATTTATTTCAGTTGAACTATTCCGTAGGCTCTTCCTTGTTTCGTCAAACTGCTCTCGACATGGCGCCGTTGCGTGTCTGAACGAAGTTCGAAGCTACGACATTGGAATATACGAGGTGGCATGTGCCACGTGTAGTCGCCAACGGTCGCGTTTCAGACGTGGCAAGATGGGCAACTCCTTCCCATCTCGCTCCTACGTATTGTTTTATGGGGCTCTGTCACCACTGTGCATACCAATTTCGATATTAAATACTTGACGCCGTTGCATCCAAACGACCCGACGACACGTGGCGGGCCCTGAAATGCAGGGAGTGTCCTCGAAGTTCGAAGTGCAAGCCCACAAACGAGCGCTATTTCCATTCTGGCCTATGCAAGCCGGGGCCGAGGT